GTCTACGCATTCGCTGTGCTTGGTGCCTGACAGCAGCGCCAGATTTGCTACGGGACTACAAAAAACATATTGTGCCAATATAGGTTCTTTTTACCAACTAACAATTAAAATTAGACAGGGTTTCTAACAAAAAGGTTGGACTCTATTTTAGTTGTGATCGTACACACGATAACAAACAAAAATAGCAAAAACGTAATTTTAAAATCGTAAAAAAAATTGCTGTTAATGTTTGCTTGTTGGCGATATTCAAATTGTGTTTTTGCCAAGACTGGTCGTTAACATTCATTCACCAGTTAAAATATAGACGAAACGTTCAAATGCACACTTGAAATTAAAAAAAAAAATGTTTTACGTAACAGGTAATACCACCTTTTTGTGAACAGCAATTGACATCGAGTATATAACCAGAAATAGAGACGAAATAAGGACCATCCAACCCTGGCAACTCATGTAACTCAGGCAAATGGGCCTCATATCATTTATAAATATGAACTCTCGTTTGCGCTGAAATCACAAATTAGAAAACTAAATAGCGCCAACAACTGACCTGTGTGTACATCTCTGTATATTCCAATAGTATTTATCGTAATAAAGATAATGTTTCTAACAATGGGGGCTGTTCCATTCGATGGTGTGGGAAAAACAGCAAAACATTTAATTACAAAACAAACGGAATCACTAATAATCACTAATAAATATTCAATATATAATTTTGCCGTCCATTATAGCAAGTCTCAAGTTAAACTGGTTGAAATTTGAAGTGAAACAATTGACGACACCAATCGGAGCGCAGTCGTCACAGTAATGATTTGGCAGAACAGTTTTCAAACAAATTAAATGACATTTCGTCTCTATTTCTGGTTATATACTTGATGGCAATTGCATTTAAACTTTATATATGTTGGGTTGACAAAAAATCAATGTATAAATACGGAATGGAAGACTTTTATTTCGATGACATGATCTTTTGCCATCTTTCGGGTAATTTTAGAACTATCGTTTCATAAGAAATCATGTCTTTACCTATAAAATACGGCTCTAAGGGTCGTATTATAGAACTCTAATCAATGCTCAAGTCAGGATTTGAGTATGGTTTAAAGCACT